AATCGATCGTTACATTTTTTATGCGATGCTTACGTTTCTTATACTAATAACGATCAAGCCACAGGCGTGAATAGCGTCGCAGTTATTTTGGGCCCTTATATGTAATATTTTTTAAAAATTAGGCCCTTATATATCGATAAAATTATTTTTAATTTGGGCCCGTATTTGTAATTATTTTCACTTTCTGGGCCCTTATTTGTAAATTCCCCTTTTATTTTTCATATGCTAAACCGATTAAACCAGCGAAAAATACACCGACATGCGCCTGGACACCCTAGGTGTGACATCTCGATCGACTGATATATATTAAATATATATAGTAAAATATTAAACCGCTAGGGTGAGACCGGTTTTGACAGGGGTGAACTTACACCGTACTATACAAGATTTTATATAAAATATATGATAATCGCAGGAGATATTAACTTAAAGACGTTTTTACAGTTCATATAGATCAATTTCAATGCCACCCTCTGACTATGCTAAATTTATTGTTTTCATTTCATGGGCTTGTAGCTCGTGGACTAAAGGTAGGAATTAATTGTCTTACGTTATTTAAACTTAAAGAGCTCAGCTTCAGATTGTTCAATTTCTTATTTTGCGATAGCTTATCTGGTGCTTTATAATGCGCGTGGAGGCGCTCCGTTAATTTTTCGCAAGAGGCTCGCTGAAGATGAGAAAAAAATAATGGCATGCTGGTATATGCTGGTACGAATAATTAGGATTTGATTACAATGAAAGCATCATTTTAATTAATATTATTTGATTCGGAATGGTCGGAATATAAAAAAATTTTGATGTGCTAAACATATGATACGAACCGACTATTAACGGAGAACTACGCTAGGTCAACAATCCTTAGACTTTAAAAAAAAAGTTTTGATATTAATTATAGTATAATCAAAGTTATCTATATAGATGGGCACGTTAATAACTATTATCTTATCGATTTCTTGCATACGTATCTCTCCAGATTGTATACGCTCTTTTGCGATGGTTGAAGTACAAGGTAGACTTGCATATTTCTTAAATTTTGACAGCAAAAAGTGGCACAATGGACTGATCACTATATTTCATAAATAGTCTTTGTTTTCACCTCGTAATACACCTCTTCCACCTCTTACAGCATTAATTCCAAAACTATTTTGGATTTATTTTCCTACATTATTTATTGAAGAATTTATGCATTTTTTCCTTTTGAGGCATTTTGTTCATATTCGTAATTCTACATGCTTTACCATTCGAGGATGTCCCGCTCCGGAAGGTACAAAAGATGAAGACTGTTGTGTATGTTATGGTGTCGGCGTGGGTTCCAGTGCGACATCCTTTTATTCAGAACAGGATAATGATGAAATTGTGGATGAGGATTCGTTAGGGATTCTAGAAAATTACTGCAAGGTTCCTCATCACGTAGCCCATCGACCTTGTATGTTCCGATGGTATACTACAGGTAGGGATGGCAAATGTTTTAAAACATTTAAAATTTTCAATAAAAAACAATAAATCAAATATTTATTTATTAACCAATTAGATTATAGAATTTTAATCACATGATTATGTTGCATCTAAAGTAGCTAGGTCATGCTATAAAAATGGTGCAGCTTCATAATTATTGAACTTTTCTGATACAGAAATTCAAATTATACATTATATTTAAAATACTAAAAGTTAGATATTATATAAACTTAAAAACTATCAATATTTTAATGTAATGTGTAATCTGAATTTTTGAGACAGAAGTGGTTGGTGATTACAAAACTGTGCCATTTTTATAACACAACTAACCTATCTATTCAAAGTTGCTACTTTAAATATCTAACAGCACCTAGCTAGAATTATATTTATGAAGATTAAATTTTATAGCTTAATATTGGTCAAATACTATATTATTTATCTAAAGTAGCAACTTAGACTTCAGATACAGCAAAAAATGTTTTAAAACATGTTTTAAAACACAAAAAAATAAAAAACATGTTTTTTGCCATCCCTAACTACAGGATTGACGGGAATATCGCGGACTCTTCCAGGTCAAAATCTGAATTCAAGGCTGACGCAAATCAAATTGTTAAGACCAATGCCGACGTGTCCAAGTTGTCGTGGAAAGTTGATGGTTGATATTCTCCAAAAAGATTTATTAGAAGAAGAGGAAGTTATAGGAAAACGGAACAATACTAATAAATGGCTGGTCAAACTTAGATCTTTAACAAGAGAATGGCTTAATATAATGAATTGGAAATGTATAGTGGCGAGGAGTGGAATTACAATTACATATATTTTGATAGCTTTGATAATTTTAAAATGGAGGGAGAATATAATTCGAAGAAAAAGATCACGAGAAGTTGTTATACCTAATCTGTAAAATCCCTGAATTTTTAAAACTGGCTTAGACGGTGTGATAAAAAAAACTTAATTTGCACCACGTATTAATTTATAAATGAAATTTATTTACATAGTCACATGGCTTCGCGAATTACATCATTAACAGTTAAACGCTAATTGATTTCTTAATATTCTTACGTACCTATGTACGTACGTATTTAAATGCTACCTTGTGAGTTTTTTATGATAAATTTAAAGTCTGCCTTTTATGAGCTCGATGTTGTTTTGATCTATGGACGAATATTATTGCTTGACTAGTTCTAGTATTCTTAGTATTCTCCTGAATGTCAATCTTGCTTGTAATTGGTGGGTATAGATATTATATCAACATCTTCAGTATTAAATACCGGTAATCATCCTAAAAATTTTTTTTTACCTCCCACGACCTCGAGGCTCCTTGTATAACTTGTACGTAAAAGAAAAGAATAATAAAATGCTTCGTCAGCAGATTAATGGAGGCTTTGGGATTCAACAAGAAGTCTCACAAGTCCCTGTTGTCAGTACAGGTAAGTAATTTACAATATTGTTATTAATCTAAATTTTTCTAAACGCGAGAATAATGACGTGACAAATGAAGCTTTGGACGTGACCAGACAACGATTTTAAAGCTAGGAAATAAGATTTTTCTTTCAGAAATAAAAATATCAACAACTACATCTTATTTGTCAAACTTATAGACTTGAAGTTTGTCTGTGTACCTCAAAATTTATCAAGTTCATCTGAAAATCCGGTACCTCAGCAACTCTTTTCTCCCGCACCTTCTTCTCCTATTACCTCATTCGATTACCTTGACTCTGTAACACCGGATGATATTCCTGAGTTCAAACAGTACAATAAAGAAAAGTATGAGAGTGCAAAGTCGGGCAGTCGTAGAAGGCGCAAACCAACACGTGAAGAATGTGACACTGCTTCTTCATTGGATGGGTATGAAGAGGAAGACGGCAACAGGCAATTTTTATATCCGTTTCTTTTTTAGTTATTCGATAGACAAACTTCGAATACACGAAATAGATTAGTTTGAAGAGAGTCGACGCGCTTTTTTGGGCTTATCAAAAGTTATCTTCCATTCATATAATTCTAGTTCCGTGACACATGCCGAATTTCGCCGCCAAATACATATTCAATCTGAACAAAGACGACGCGCAGAAATTAAAGATGGTTTTGAACAACTTCGCCGTCAACTTCCTTTTAATACGAACGGGCGCAAAATGAGCAAAGCTACACTGCTTCAAAAAAGTAATATCTCGCGTTTCATATCAATTAGGTCTTTAATTTGTATCATAATTCGTTATGTTCAAATAATGCCATTCATTATTTCTCGCGTGTTTATTAAAAACATGAGCTGATTTATGATCACGCGTCGCAAAATGTATTTTTAATCAGCTGTCACACATCTTAAGAACATGAAATCCAAAGAGAACTTTCTTTTTGATGAAATTAACCGTCTCCATCAATACATTACCTATTTGTCCGCTGAACTTGAGAGAGAAAAAAAGTATATATTTATTTCTTATGTTTTTTTTTATGTTATAGTATTTTCTAATTCATTTAAAATTCATTCATTCATTTATTAATCCATTTTAGAATGAACGCCATATATCAACAACAGGAGACCCTTGACAAGATCTATGCGATTGGGTTGTGAATCAATTATATGTTACATAAGCCGTCTGGACCGGCAAGCGTGTGTCAACCGAGCCAAAATTCAACGTTTAAATACTCACTTTTTTTTTTTTTTTTTTTTTTTTTTTTTTTTTTCTTTCTCTTCAAAAGCCAATTTTCTTTTTGTCACTAGTGATCCTAGCCAGTAGTGAAAAAGTCGGCAAAAGCTAATTTCGGCTTAGCCACTTTTTTTTTTTCAAAATCGGCTGACCAATTCTTTTAATGATAATTCACGCATAAGCTTTTGATCATTACAAATATATTGAGTCATATTTTCTTGCGTAACATCAAATAACGGATTTAGATTAAGGACAATATTTTAATTACATTAAGACTTTTAATTATTGCTATAAAACATAAACCGTAATATGGCGCTATTTGACAGAAATTTGAATTCCCATTGTGACTTTTAGATTTTTCCAATATTCCAATAAAAGAATAATCTCATGAGTCTTTTATTTGTAGCGCTTTAGATCACTTTAAGATCCGACAGTTCAAGGTCTCGTCAATATTCAAAGATGAAATATACATTACTTACATTACTCATAAGAGGCACTAAGTTAATGGCTGAATTAATAATTGATTTTTTCATGAATATTAAATACAAATTATATTTTTGCTTATTTGATAGACAAATTGTAGTTTTCTAAATATGAAGTTCTATTTAGCTATATACAGATATAAGATATAGTGACATTTTCATAATAAATTTTAAGAAAAATTCAAGGTATATATATATATATTTATTTATACGTAAATTCGCAATATTAAATTTTTTTTAATAATAGATAAGAAATTATATTCAAGACTAGCTATATACGTAAATGGATAAAAAAATTCACAATTAATAAAAATCATAAGTGATTTTTAACTACACAACTTAGGCAACACTAGATTTCAATTCGCATAACTTAAGGATCTAATAACGAATACACTGTGATCCTGGGATTTTGGCCTTCAAGATCATAAATCCGATAATACATCCACCTTGTGGCATAAAAAAAATTTAAATTAGCAATTCCAACGGGGACCAGAGCAATAATTTGTTTAGTTCCCCAAGTTCCTATTGGATATAGAAAACCTGTCCTTGATTGGACAAAATAGTTAATATCAGATTCCGTCGTAAGATTCTGATTTTACAAGGTGATAATTTTACGTTACATCAGATCTTGTCATGTGATTGGTCAGAATTCATGCGTAATATACTTTGTCCTAGATTTATATAGCTAGTATTTTCCGATCCTATTTTTGAAAGACCATCCGGATTCTATCAAATCTGGATTGAAACCGCATTGATTATACCGTATAGTCGCGAAATAACGCACATGGGCGTTATTTCGAATCTCGGCCCGAATTAAGCTTAATTTAGGCCG